AAAAATGGCAAAAATAAAAGTTGAAATTTAAAATTTTGAACTTGATGACAAAATAGTGCTGCATTAGATAACATTTACCTAACTATTCCCTTTTTTCAAATAAAATGTTAAAGAGGAGTCAAAGAAACAATTCCTTCTTTTCGAATAAAATGTTAGAGAGAAGTCAAACAATTCTGACATATCACCAAAATATTTTACAAAATTGACTGAACTTGAGAAATTATAGGTTGCAAAACTTGGTCTCTAATCTTACCCTTCTAGCGGATGACTCCTGCCTAAAAATACTTGCATACATTTTGATTGATTTCTTCCAAAACCAACTATCTATCCAATAACATATAAACAATCCAATGATTTAGTAATTCTATATATTTCAATATTCGAATATGAAGTTTATAACCATAAAAATTACCACTTAGTGAAATTGTCCAAAATGACAAAATCAAAGTCTAAAAATCTGAAGGACCACACAATAATCAAAACAGAAAATTACTCATTCCTACGATACTCCTAAATTGAACATTGCTAGCAAAACTAATTAACAGTACCTACTTAGTTAATAGCACAGCTAAATACGCCATAAATAACTTCTGGTAATACATCCAAGCTCTCTAATAAAACTTTGTGAACAAAGTTGAGAACTATCTGAAACTACCAAATGAACCTTGAAAAATAAATAACTCAAGCACTGTAATAGCACATTATCTCATACTCTTAACACTTGTAGCACATTCAAACTCACTACGTTAAAAGAAAGGGCACAAAGTAAAACAAAAAATAAACCCAACAAAAGTACCATAATAACCAATTTTTTAGATTGATGTAATTGACAGTTAATTAACGTTGAAAAGAGACAACCAATTCAAACCATCTTCTATATGTGACCAACAGACATTTTAGCTTAAGTGACATTGTCATGTAAAGCTGCCTTGCTTTAAAACTATGTTCACCAACACTCCCTCCATGGACTTGATGCATCCTCGAGCTTAGCTATGTCCATTGTCATGTGAGAAAACAAACAATAAGCTCCACTACTCTAATTGTAAAAGGGCCAACAAATTAGATTAAAATAAATTTTCTTGTAATCAAGAAATCACCAAACAATAAATTATATAATCAAGTGTGTTTCTTAACAAAAACAAACCCATAGAATAAACCAATCCAAACAAAACCAAGGATAAAGTAATGCTAAATTTCTTCATGAATGGTCAAGGACAAATAAATAAAAAATCTATCCCTCCCAACTTGCATTATTAGGGGAAAAAACAAAAAGGTCTAATTTAATCTTTGAATAGGAATATCTCCAAGAAAACATCACAATCATAGATAATTAATGAAATTATAATTCTTTAAAAAAAAAAAACTTTGGTGCCTTCTTTTTTATCCAGCTTTGCAAAATGCATGAAACTCAATAAATCATTTTGTTGGCGGCAATTCAAAGCTAAAATGGGTCTAAACACGTCTTATATAAAACTCACCTTTTACTTGTTTCATCACATTACGGTTTCATTTGCTCTTCTAGCATAATTTTTATTCTACATGAATAGCCTCCCACTCCATTTTCAATCCTGAAATAATTCTCGAAAATTCTATTTTTTCAATAAAATCAAAATAAGGATACATTCTAATCTATGTAGCAAACATTTGCTGATGTTTCGAAATTCAGATTATACATTTTTTACTACCCTTGAGACAAATCCATTAGAAACATGAAATTCAGATCATGACAGCCAAATTAAATTCAAAGTTACATATAAAAAACCCACACAATGTGTAGGAACCGTAAGTTGGAATAATGCAAATTTCAAATCAAATTGTATTATCCTATAAGATTAATTAATGCTTTTTGACACTGATACACAACAACATAGACAATATAGTGATAACCCATGCCTAAAGACACTCCTCAACAAAACCTAAGCATTCGGTAGTGTATACAACTCAACATTAAATGAGGAAATGTTTTTTTTATAAAACTCGGTAGTGTATATGTAAAAACTTAAAAAATATATTTCCAAAACCTTTAAGAGTAATTCAGCCATAAATATTCCATTAGCATCATTCTTTCAACATCAAAATAATTTAAATCAATCCATTAAAGTTTATTCACCTGGGTTCCTTTCCCCTAACTCTCTCACATTCACATTCCACTCAAGATGTGTAGGGTAACCAAGAATAACACAATTGGTGAATGAAGAATGAAATATTGAATTGCGATTGTATTTCTATCTACCAATTGACTATATAAGTACACTTTTTATCTTTTTATCTTTTTTGGGTCACATCACCTCTCTACTTTTCTACACATCTTTTCGTAAAAAGTCAAAATTGTACTTATTTAGATCATCTCAATCAATTGACTTAATTTGTGATTGGGTTTTAATTCATTGTGTTTTTTGAAAAAAAAAATTTATTGTATTTTTTAACTATCAATTAACTTAATTTGTGATTGAGTTTTTAACTTACAATGTATTTTGAAAAAAAAAAAATTTGATTGTAAGTGATTGTATTTTTTAAATATCAATTAAAAAAAAATTGTATTTTGTTTAGCAAAAAAAAATTTATAATTTGGTTTTTGAAGTCACTGTGTTTTTGAAGAAAAAAAAGTGATTCTGTTTTTTAACTATCAATTAATTTCATTGCTTTTTTTTTTAATATTATGAGCAAAAATGTTATTGTGTTTTTTTACACTCCGTTTTGATCACATTTTTTAACTGATTGTGTTTTTTTACACTACATTTCGATCACATGATGAGAAAAAAAATTGTTTGGGTTGTGACAATCTTTGTATTTTTTGAAACAAAAATAGATTGTATTCATTACTATTGATGATGATTAGATTGTATTTTGTCTTAAAAAAAATTGTAATTGATTTTTTTTAACGCACAGTGCTTTTTGAAAAAAATAAATGATTGTGTTTTTTTAACTATTAATTAACTTAATTTGTGATTGGGTTTTAACTCACTGTGTTTTTTGAAAAAAAAAATAATAATAGTTGTGCTTTTTAAACTATCTATCGACTTCATTGTTCTTTTTTTTTTTTAATGAGCAAAAATGTGATTGTGTTTTTTTTACACTCCATTTTGATCACATGGTGAATCTTTGTAACTGATTGTATTTTTTTATGCTCCATTTCAATCACATGATTAGTAAAAAAAATTGTTTGCGTTGTGACAATCTTTGTGTTTTTATAGGATGAAACATGATACAGTTACTATTAAAATCAATCAACTATCTCAAAAAAGAAAATTACACAATTCACGCCAGATTGATCATGATGATTTCATTTTCAAGGATAAATTGAAACAACTTTAAAAAAAAAAAAAAAAAAAAAAAAAAAAAGCACATCGATTATGAGCATGTGTTCTACGTGACAAACAATTGCATTATGCAATGAATGTTGGGAATGTCACAAGTAAATTCTGAGGTATTATCATTTTCATATATATTGATTTCTCATTAGTTTTTACACTAAATATATATATATATATATATTTTTTTTTTCTGTAATTTAAAATACAAGAGTTGTTATGCCTTCCACATTAGAGGGTGTTCACTTCTACCAAAATGTTTCAAGAGTCACCACAATGACAAACAATATTAATGTTCTAAATGGTAAGAACCTCCAGTAATAATATTTTCTAATCATGATTATTTTATATTATAACTTGCAAATATTAATATCTACTACTTTCATAATGAATACTAATAGTTATAAAGAGGTAATTGTTTTTAGGTAAATAATTGTTATGTATAATAATAATTCAAACTTAACAAATATGTTAATTTTTTATTAGGTACAATATTTCCTTTTAACAAGTGTTCCTTTTTCTTTTCTTTTTTTGATTGGATACAATGTTAACATTGTGGTCAAAGACCGTACTGGTTCAATAAACCTCACTGTTCAAGATAAACGGGCAAAGTTTATCTTACGATGTCAATTATCATATTTGAAAAATATGAGATCAAAGATAAGAAATTATAAAATTTATTATAAATAACTTATTCTTACATTTTCAAACATAATATTATAATTCTAAAATTTTATAACATAATAGAGTTGGAATGATTAAAGATTATATTGTGTCATGTCAAGACCGTGCCTATGCATTTACCATACTTGTACCAATAATGCTACGTCAACTAGATTGTTCACCGTGATCTTTGTTTTGAATATAGATTGGTCTAAAGAATATCTATACTTTTTAGAAGGTAAAATATATATATATATATATATAATATGTACGTATAACATTTTTACTTTATAACTTTTTATAAATACATAATATATGTGTTGTTCATCAATTATAATACTAACTATCATATTGACAATGCAAGAATGCTAGTAGAAGACCCACAACAATTTAGATTTTATTTATAATACATTTTATTTATTCAGTGAATTTCGAACAAATGTGATAAATTTTTATTTTTATTACTTCAATTATAAAATGTCAACATTTTCTTTTAAAATTACGTATATCATATGCTAACAATTTAAAAATATATTTGACATAATCATAAATAATTTTTTTAAATCCAATTCCGTACAGCCCGGATGATATTTAAAATTAAAGTCAATTAATCATTTTATGAACGACTCATTAGGGTCCGCGGTTTGCGTATACTTTCTATAAAGTTAATGGAATTAAAAATCAAATACCTCTGCCATCACATTACATGAAAAGTATGCAGAAGGTAAAAAATGTAGGATTCACACAAGGGCTAAAAGGAGTGAATGGGTGGTTCGAATTGATAGTGTTGGGCGAAGAAACTCGTAAAAATCTTACATCAATTCAAACTTAACCAAATTGTGTGGTTTGGTTTGATTTTGTGAATGGCCAGTTTAGTTGTAGTTCTCAAAAGTGAAGAATTGTAGTTTCAGTTCACGGTTTTACAGGTGTGTAATATAGTTTTATGTATGTTAAAAATCTATTGCTGAATTTCACTGTTGGTAGAAGACACTTGAGGGTATATAGGTACTCGTAACACAACCAGAGTTGAATTGCCTAAGGATTGGGTTTGGTCTCGTTAATTTCTTTGTAACTTTGAATACTTTTTTTTTTCTTTTTCTCAATACTTCATAGGCTTTACAATGAAGAAATCAGGATGGTTCATAAGTGGCTAGCTCCTTCTTCAACCCTGTTGTTGCTTAAGTTCTCTCCCCAATACTGTCAATGCTGAAATAGAATAAAGTTCAGTGGGTATTAGGATTTAGGATTTAGGAACTCAAACTCCAAAGGAACCCTAAGCACAAGGTCACAATGCCAAAGAACAAAAGCAGCAACATTATCATTAAGAAATTAGAGTTAAGAGATGAAGTAATCAACAACTGAACAATCACACAACACGAGCACCCAAGAAATGGGCATACACAATCCTTCAATCAAGGGAATATCCACACAAGGGCAGGTGCAACATTCACACCAATTATTTGCCTAAAACTCAAGAGGTGTTACAAGAACTTGCATTAAACTAAAATGGAATTACCTCTCATTATTTTTCTGAAAATGCTTCTCTTACTCGCCCAAAACAACACTTTCCAAGCTAGTTGGAGAAAGTTCAACCTGCATTGAGCTTCAAAAGCGTGGCACTTGAGTACACAAATTCAGAGCTCCATTTTCTTTATTCTTCTCGACTTGCTTTGCCACTCAGCAGAGCGACAGACATGTGAATTCCTTGAGCAGTCTCGAAAGCATGTACCTTCAGCACCAAGAAGGATCGAAATACCGTTGCAGACTTTATTTTGTATCTTTGTCGTCCCACTGCAAATCGTTCCACCATTGCAATTCACCTCTTATTTCTTTTATGGCATTTGCATTTTGGGTAGTGAATGGCAACTTCTTGATTTGATTGCAATTGATCACTTCAAGTATCTCTAGATGCTGCCATGACTGGTGTTGTCCGCATAGGGTTATTATTTCGGGAAGATTTTTCAATTTCATTGTCCGTAGGTTTGGAACAATGCAACTTGGGACCAATGTCTGGCTTGAAGTAGCATGCTCAGGAAGGTCCTCAGAAGACTGGCTTGAACTAGCATTCTCAAAGAGCTCTGCAAACTCCCGGCAAGAGCTAACGGTGACTTCTTCTAGATTTTTCAAAGTCCCACTAGAAGAGACAAGATATTTTAACCTGTTACAACGGGACAAACTTATTTTTCTTAGTGTAGAAAGTCAGAGTTTAAGAAGGCGAACTAGTTCTGAAACGGACAATAGACACCACACTTCAAGGAGAACTAGTTCCTGAAGATTAGGTAAGAGGTCAAATCGGTCATCACCACTTTCTCTTGCTGGTAGAAACTCACCATGGTAATCTGTGATAGTGATTTCAAACCAATAAAACAGTAGCATTCTTTCGCCAAGCCTGCAGGTATCTCTTCTAAGTTTTTACAACAATCCAAAGTCAGATTACTTGCATTTTCCAATAATTGCTTAAGCCAATAATATATTCCATACAAACAGGGACGGAATTAGGAGAAGACTATGGGGGCCATGGCCCCCCAGTTTCTATGAAAAATATGGTTTGTCATAGTATTTTAAAAATATATTTCATTTTATACATAAAATGACCCCCAATATAAAAAATATATATCTTATTTTTCTCTTATCTTGCGCTCTCTTTTTATTTTGTACCAAAAAAACTTTATCCTATTGGAAATTACTTCTGTGGTATTTGAATTTTTTTGTGTATATACATAATTCATATATCATATTGTACATACATGCGTGCATATGTATATAGTACAAAAAATTTATTTGTCTTTTGGCCCCTCCGGTGATGAAATCCCAGTTCCGTCCTTGCATACAAATTAACCCAACAAAGAGTAACCCTCTTTTCCTCATATTTTTTTTGTACTAGAAGTTTTTCATCGGCATGACCAATGACAAAATGGAATCTTTTTAATCTTTTTATCCAAGAAAGATCTTCAAAGGTGAGATACGAGCTGTTCAGGTTAATGTATAGAGCAAGGCATCCTAGCTCATCAATTTGTGCTGTTTCCAATTCTTCCCTTGGTCTCTTCCCACCCCACATGTAGAAACTATTTGTCATGTCTATAGTTTCTAAACGGGACGACTGGGATATAATTCCATTTGGAATATGTCTCAAGTGGTGAGTTTCTGATAAATCTAACAGCCTTAGATCGGTTAAATTTTCCATTCCTTCTGGCAATGCCTCAAGATTAGTGGAAGAGCAATCGAGAACTTGTAACCTATGAAGTCTTCCAAGTGGGGGTAATTCTTTGAGGTTCTGACATGTTCGTAACAGAAGAGCCTCGAGTTTATGCAGTTGGATAACTGAAAGAGGTAGTGTATGGATGCGAGTTTCACTCAGATTCAAGACTCTAAGTGCTGGAAATCCAAGCAGGAATCCTTCTGGAACTATCTCAAGAGGAAGATTACCTCGTAGAAGTAGACTTGATACCTTTGGGCATCGTATTGCGCAATCAGGCAACCGTGTTATTTTGTTCTCCATGAAAGAAACTCTATTGAGAGATTCTGACAATTCAGTTTCTGAAATTTGATTCAAACCGATTCCAGACTGAACAAAGGACTTACATCCATCAAGCTCTGAGGAAGATGCAATCCACATGGCAACATCACGAACTACGTCATGCATCTTCACAGTGTGGTTGAAGATACCTTCTTCTAGCAAGCAAGTCCTTGAGATTTTCAACCAAAGCAATTCCTCTATTCATTGAATCCTCATAGCTTTTTCGTACTACCACCAAACCTTCCGCAATCCAGCATTGCACAAGTTCCCTTACTTCAATTGAAAAGTCCTCTGGATATAAGGAGCAATACAAAAAACAAGATTTGATATCCATACCTTGGAAAAACAATGAATCGTAACTCCATTTGAGATGCCTGTACACCTTATACTCAATTCCTTGAGCATTTAAGGCATCGTTCCACAATGTCTCCGTTATCTTCCCCCTCATGGAAGCCCCAACAATGATGATTGCTAAGGGCAATCCACTGCATTCTTTGCTAACTTTCCTTGCAATTGGTTCAATATGTGGTAGGGTGGCTACCTTCCCGGCATTTTGAGTAAACAGTTGCCACGATTCTTCCTCGTTTAGAACATCCACTTTAACATCTATATCCGTCTTCATCTGCCGACATACATCCAAAGATGGAGAGGTCAGTATTACCTTGTTTCCCATTTGAAGTTCTGGTTGTGTTTGTGGGACACCTAGATAATCCAAATCAATTGCGTCCCAAACATCATCAAGAATGAGGAGGAAACTTTTCTCCCTTTGAAGTCGTTCATGAAGTCGGCTTGCTGTACTCTCCATGCTTTCCCCTGCTTTTACCACCAAATTCAATCTTTCCAGGACTTGTCTTTGAAGTTTCCTGCATCCTATGAATTCCACCAAGTCAAGAAAAACATGCAAGTCCAAAAAAACGCATAGAATGACGAAGGAGCCATTAGTTATCAATCACATTATTAATACTCTCATCATTTAAAATTAAAGTCAATTAATCATTTTATGAACAACTCATCAGAGTCAGCGGGTTTGCGTATACTTTCTGTAAAGTTAATGGAATTAAAAATCAAATACCTCTGCCATCACATTACATGAAAAGAATGTAGAAGGTAAAAAATGTAGGATTCACACAAGGACTAAAAGGAGTTAAACTAAGTAAAATGTAAGTATATTTTATTCACATTTCACTTACCTTTTTCATTTCCCTTTCCAAATCTCTCCTCAAATTTTCTAACCAAACACAGCATTAAGGTATATAGGGTACTCGCAACACAACAAGAGTTGAATTGCCCAAGGACTGAGTTTGGTCCAGTTAATTTATCTTGTAACTATGAATACTTCCTTTTATCTTTTTCTCAATACTTCATAGGCTTTATACTGAAGACCTCAGGATGGTTCAAAGTAGCTAGCTCCTTCTTCAACCCCGTTGTTGCTTAAGTAATGGTGAAACAGAATAAAGTTCAGCGGGTATTAGGATTTAGGAACTCAAAACTCCGAAGGAACCCCAAGCACAAAGTCACAATGCCAAAGAACAAAAGCAGTAACATTATCATTAAGAAACTAGAGTTAAGAGATGAAGTAATCAAACAACTGAACAATCACACAACACAAGAGCACCCAAGTAATGGGCATACACATCCTTCAATCAAGGGAAAATCCACACAAGGGCAAGTGCAACATTCACACCAACTATTTGCCTAAAACTCAAGAGGTGTTACAAGAACTTGCACAAAACTAAAATGGAATTACCTCTCAATATTTTTCTGAAAATGCTTCGCTCACTCGCCCAAAACAACACTTTCCGAGCTAGTTGGAGAAAGTCCAACCTGCATTGAGCTTCAAAAGCGTGGCTCTTGAGTACACAAATACAGAGCTCCATTTTCTTTATTCTTCTTGACTTGCTTTGCTACTCAGCAGAGCGACAGACATGTGAATTCCTTGAGCAGTCTCGAAAGCATATACCTTCAGCACCAACAAGGATTGAAATACTGCTGCAGACTTGATTTTGTATCTTCTTCGTCCCACTCCAAATCGTTCCACCATTGCAAGTCACCTCTTATTTCTTCTATGGCATTTGCATTTTGGGTAGTGAATGGCAACTTTTTGATTTGATTGCAATTGATCACTTCAAGTATCTCTAGATGCTGCCATGACTGGTGCTGTCCGCATAGGGTGGTTAATTCGGGAAGATTTTTCAATTTCATTATCCGTAGGTTTGGAACAATGCAACTCGGAACTAATGTCTGGCTTGAAGTAGCATGCTCAGGAAGGTCCTCAAAAGACTCGCTTGAACTAGCATTCTCAAAGAGCTCTGCAAACTTCCTACAATAGCTAACGGTGACTTCTTCTAGATTTTTCAAAGTCCCACTAGAAGAGACAAGATATTCTAAACTGCTACAATAGGACAAACTTATTTTTCTTAGTTTAGAAAGTCGGAGTTCGAGAAGGTGAGCTAGTTCTGAAATGGACCTTAGAGAAGACACTTCATTGAGAACAAGTTCCTGAAGATTAGGTAAGAGGTCAAATTGGTCATCACAGCTTTCTCTTGCTGGTAGAATATCACCATGGTAATCTGTGATAGTTAGTGATTTCAAACCAATAAAACAGTAGCATTTGTTCGCCAAGCCTGCAGGTATCTCTTCTAGATTTTGACAATAATCCAAAGTCAGATTACTTGCATTTTCCAACAGTTGCGTAACCCAATAACATTCCCCAAAGAAATCAACCCGACAAAGAGTAACCCTCTTTTCCTCATATTTTTGTTGTACTAGAAGTTTTTCATCAGCATGACCAATGACAAAATGGAATCTTTTTAATCTTTTTATCCAAGAAAGATCTTCAAAGGCGAGATACGAGCTGTTCAGGTTAATGTATAGAGAAATCAATTGGTTGAGGCATCCTAGCTCATCAATGGGTGCTGTTTCCAATTCTTCCTTCGGTCTCTTCCCACCCCACATGTAGCAACTATTTGTCATGTCTATAGTTTCTAAACAGGACAGCTGGGATATAATTCCATTTGGAATATGTCTCAAGTGGTGAGTTTCTGACAGATCTAACAGCCTTAGATCGGTTAAATTTTCCATTCCTTCTGGCAATGCCTCAAGATTAGTGGAAGAGCAATCGAGAACTTGTAACCTATGAAGTGTTCCAAGTGGGGGTAATTCTTTGAGGTTTTGACACCCTTGTAGCAGAAGAGCCTCGAGTTTATGCAGTTGGATAACTGAAAGAGGTAGTGTATGGATATGAGTTTCACTCAGATTCAAGACTCTAAGTGCTGGAAATCCAAGCAGGAATGCTTCTGGAACTATCTCAAGAGGAAGATTACCTTGTAGAAGTAGACTTGATACCTTTGGGCATCGTATTGCGCAATCAGGCAACCTTGTTATTTTGTTCTCCATGAAAGAAACTCTATTGACAGATTCTGACAATTCAGCTTCTGAAATTTGATTCAAACCGATTCCTGACTGAACAAAGGATTTACATCCATCAATCTTCGAGGAGGTTGCAATCCATATGGCAACATCACGAACTACGTCATGCATCTTCACAGTGTGGTTGAAGATACCATCTTCTAGCAAGCAAGAGTCCTTGAGATTTTCAACCAAAGCTATTCCCCTATACATTGAATCCTCATAGCTTTTTCGTACTACCACTAAACCTTCCGCAATCCAGCATTGCACAAGTTCCCTTACTTTAATTGAAAAGTCCTCTGGATATAAGGAGCAATATAAAAAACAAGATTTGATATCCATACCTCGGAAAAACAATGAATCGTAACTCCATTTGAGAGGATTGTACACCTTATCCTCAATTCCTTTGATGCTAGGCACAGACATTTCCAAAGCATTTAAGGCATCGTTCCACAATGCCTCCGTTGTCTTCCCCCTCATGGAAACCCCAACAATGATGATGGCTAGGGGCAATCCACTACATTCTTTGCTAACTTTCTTTGCAATCGGTTCAATATGTGGTAGAGTGGCTACCTTCCCGGCATTTTGAGTAAACAGTTGCCAAGATTCTCCCTCGTTTAGAACATCCACTTTAACATCTATATCCGTCTTCATCTGCCGACATACATCCAAAGATCGAGAGGTCAGTATTACCTTGTTTCCCATTCGAAATTCTGGTTGTGCCTGTGGGACACCTAGATAATCCAAATCAATTGCCTCCCAGACATCATCAAGAATGAGGAGGAATCTTTTCTCCCTTTGAAGTCGTTCATGAAGTCGGCTTGCTGTACTCTCCCTGCTTTCCCCTGCTTTTATCTCCAAATTCAGTCGGTTCAGAAGTTGTGTTTGGACCCTTTCCAAGTTGAATTCCTTGGAAACAGTGACCCATAAAATGATGCTGAAAGGTTGAGCAGCGATAGAAGAAGAAGAAGCAGCAGCAGCAGTAGTCTGAAGCTTGTTGTTCAAGTTCTTGACCAGAGTAGTCTTGCCAACTCCACCCATACCCCAAACGCCGATCTTACTTGCACCATCATCATCATCATTCAACAAATTCATAACCTTCATTAGATTTTTGGAAGCTGTCGATTGGCCAATGATTGAAGGCCCCGGGATGTGCTCAACTATTTTCAATTGGCAATTTTCAACCACCATGCTATTAGAAAAAAACTTGACGGCTTCAATGAGTCTTCTAACCTCGGTGAGGCTCTTGGATACTTTTTCACCTAGTGTACAGCCAAGGCAGCAGCAACTTGGAGTTGTTGGACAAAGGTTACCTTGTTGTACCTGTGCTTCTATTGAATTCACTTCCTTGTTGATGGCTTCAAGCTCTTCAAGCCACATCGTCACTGCTGGTGCAGCAGCTACCTGGCCTCTTCTCTTCTCAGCTTCCTCGATCTGTTCTTTCACGGCGTTTCCAAGATTTGTTAGTTTTCCCATTTCCTTGTTGAGTTTTTCGAGGTTGGATCGGAATCTGATCCTACTCTTCATCTTGGGATAGATAGCACCTAAAAGTTTACCAACTGCAGCAAGCCCTCCGGCCAAAGAAGCCAACAACGCCAACAACGCCATTTATTGATCGCGTTTCACAAACCCTCAGAGGCTTTCCGGTATCGTAGATTTGATTTTGGGAAATGATCCAGACCACAGCACTTTTGTGAGAGAGGGGGAGGAGAGAGAGTGGATACAGAGGAAAAATAAATAAATAAATAAAATATATATAATGTATCGTCACAAATCAATTAAATTGTAGAGTTCAAAAAGAGTGCGACTCTCAATTATTTTCCTCTGATTTTGACGGAATTTTCTGGGTTTCTCACTCAGCCAATTCCATTTCCAGCTACTTTTTCTACGCGGTATGGTGTGTAGCTGGTGGTGGGCCATTTCATTTCGCGTATGACATGACAAATGACAAGAAGAGTCCATTCATGGCTAATTTTGTATTGTATGAAAACGACCTCATTTTTATGAATGAAAAACAAAAAATTATATTATTTATGTAGTGAATAGTAATAATTTTTTAAATTTTTGAGTAATTTTTTAATTTTTTGTCTAGGTTGGGAAGTGGGTTGATTTTTTGATTTTTTTGACTATTTTAACTTGGGCTAAAAAGTTTGGTTTGAAAAGAATTTTTTAACCTTTTTAACTTTTTTTTATGAAAAAAGAGTGTAATGATTATAAATTAAATGTGATGTTTTATTTGTTGGGACTAAAATAGTCTATTTTATCTTCTATGACTATTTTAACCATAAACTAACTTACCAAACAACCCCTTTGACAACTTGTCAAATTTGACCTTATTCTTGACGTGCATCACCAAGCACTACCCCAAAAGATATCGAAGCAAAACAAGGTTTATTTATTTATTTATTTATCACCAAGCACTACCTAAAAGATATTGAAGCAAACCAAGCTTATTTAAATATATTTATTTAATTTCAATATATTTAAATCAAATAAAATAATAATCCATTGATGATATATTTTATTTTTTTATAAATAATATATACAAATAGTTTTACAAAATGATGGTTCCAACTATTATATCATCAATGCATTATTAAATGCAATTATCCAAATATATATATATATATATATTTATATATATATAAAATATAATTTATTTATTTTTTTATCCATGCATTCTGTCTGAGAGGTCGTCCAGGTCTACTACTGAGAGTTGGTCATAAAAGTCATCCCCATCTCCCATGGGTGGTTCATCGTACCATTCTTGGTCATTTTCTCTCATTACCGGTGATTCATGAGAGACGCCATGCTGATAGTTAGGGTACTGACTTTCATCGACAAATGTCTCTTTGCTGAAGGGATATCTTGGGATAGCTAAATTACAATGTATCTTCTGATGTCTATCTTCACAAACTAAATGTCCATAATTTCCATTATATGCTAATAGAGAGTTGCTAGCAAATTTTCTCCATTTATTGAGCTGGTCTTTGAGTGGAAATCTTCTGCATGGCCAGGGTCTTCGATTGAGAAGTCCTGGAAATCCTAGGAATGTTGAGGTTCCTCTGAGATACATTTTATGTTTGGGTGGATTGCACCATATTCCCTTCCACTCTGATAATTTGCTATCTATCAATGCTTCTACATACGAATGATCTTCTTCCATTACACACAGTATTGCATGAGCAAGCTTATGTCCAAAGCTATCTGTCTGATCTGGTTCTGTGAAAATTAGTCTAGAGACAAAGCCGTAATCTAACAATTTTGGGGCTGTTAGATAACGAGTTTCACCCCTAATTTCTATCTCCAATGGCTCGAATGTAGCTAGATTTATCTGGCAAAGGCAAATGCTGAAGTCTAGGTTGCATTGACATCTACCAAAATGTTCGGACCTCTTATTGCATTTTTCTTTTTCTAAGCAGGGCTACTCTTCATCTTCATAGGTATAGGTCCATTGATAAGCTAGGCTAGGGCAGTCAACTCTTGCTATAGAGAGGTCCTGAAGAAAATGCTGAATAATGACTAACTCGCTATTTCTGCTATCTTCGGCTAAGGTGTAAATATAGGGTTTTAGGTCTTCCATTACTTGGCTTTTCTCACAAAAAGATCGAATGATAGAATGCCTGAAGAAATACATTCTAGCACTCAATTGGTCAAATTCCTTACTGGTGAGTTGTTTGATTTCTGGGCTAGGTAAGGAGGTCGGTGTTTTTTCTGGAGCTAATGTTTTAAGCTGGTTAGTTAGGGTTCGAATGGTTGCTTTTAATTGTTTTTCTTCGTCTCGGAGCTAGTCTAGCTCTTCACTGACCTTTTTGCCTCTATCCATAATTTTCTTGAAGTTTCTGGAAAGGCCTTCACAATGTGTGCACATCTGAAGAGGATTCTGAGAATCTATCTGAGGGTTAGAACTACTACTGCCTGTACTACTGCTTCCAATTATCTGGCTAACTGGAACTCCACTGGTAACAAGAATGGTTGACCTCATCTTGCTCAATGTGTCCAGGTAATCTTTAGTTATCTGGCTAATAAAGTAACTGGTTCCTATTTGTCTTCAGGCATAGGTACTGGCTGACTCAAAATCATAAAATCCTTTAAACTGGGGTATAGGAAAAAATTTAACTAAGGGTTCTACCTCTATCCAGTCATGGTAAATCTCGGGCTTGGTTCCTTTAGCTACTGCATAAAAAGAAAAACTTTTTGACAAAGGTTTATTTTGGATCTTTGAAAAATATATACTGAGAGAGTTAAGGCTGAAAGGCGTTTAGCTGGGTGATTCTGACTGTTCCAAAGGTTATCTAAAAGACACTGTTGGACTGGGTCTAGGTCTATTCCTATTAATGGTCTGAACTTGTTTCTGCCTTCATGAATGGGAAGAGCGAATCCCCCAAAGTTCATGGTTTTGCTGTTCTCCATTATCTACACAAAATTAAACTGGTTATTTTCTTTTTCTAAATAAATTTTCCTACTTAACCAATCTGTTAACCTATTATCACTCCCTTTAATATGTTCAAATTCTACTTTACATCCTTGTCCTGCTATACAGTCTAAAAATTTTGCCCATCTTCTAGTACTCAATTTACGCTCGTTAAGTTTATTATGAAATCTAACTATAGCTTCACAATTTGTTCTAATGGTAAAAAGTTTGTGTAAAAATAATCTAAATTTATTTATTGCATATACTACTCCTAGTATTTCAAAATCTCAAAGTCGTGTCTTTTTCTTTTTGCTGCAAATTTGATTACACAAGAGATCTCAACTAAATTTGGTTTAGGTATAATCGAGTAATTAAATGGTAAATATGTATTATCTGGTTGGGCTTTAGAGTATTGACTAAAGGGTTGAGAATCAACTAGGTTGACTAATTCTAACGAATTCATATGTTCTTCAATCAGTTTGTCTTTTAAAGGGTATTTATTGTGAAATTGTTCTAGCTGCTGTTTAAGCTATCTATTTTCTAGTTCTAAACATTCTATGTCAAAACTAGTCTTAGTTTCTATCTCGTGTATTTGTAACTTAAGTTCTCTTACTTGTATTTCTAATTCTCTAATTGTTAAATGTAATTTTCTGCTTTCTAGACTATGATCTTCTCTAGTATTTCCTAATGTTATCTTATGTGTCATATTTAATTTTTCTAGACAGACTATACAATAAGTTATACTGCATAACAAACATTGAGCTCGTTTATCTTTAGATGGAAACCAATTACAATAGCTACATCTAGTGGTATTAAATCCTAGTCCTATTTGAAAATTATGCTGACATTCAGTATCTGCATTACATTCCATCATAAAGAAAGTATCTTGGGAAGGAGTTAGTCCTATTTCCTAGTTGAGTTGTCCTAAAAGATTATCTATATCTGTGTCACTTTCGGAATTACTATCTGAACTTATGGCTTCTATTTGGTATTCATAATCACTAACTATGCTATAGACTTCTGAATCATCACTAGTTATGCTAACTATATCTTCTTCTAAATCTTCTATAATATGAAGTCTTTCTATCTGTTTATTAGTATTAGGTCTTTGTCGTTTTGGGCAGCTTTTTGCAAAATGATTGGGTTCTCCACATATAAAACAATTGCATTTTTTACTGTTGGGTTTTCTAACATATCTTTGTTTTCTTTTATCTTTTTCTTCTTTGGATAATTTCTTATAATTTGTCCTATTAAAAGTTCTACTTTTTCTAATGAATTTCTGTTTATTCCATGGTTTTTTATATTTTTTCTTCCAATATTTTTCTTTTCTATATTTTCCATAGTTTTTTTGTATTTCTTCATATTATATTGATCTTCATATTGCTGAGGAGTATATATTACACTGCTACAAAAGCCGTAATTTTTTTTTTCAAATCTTTCTGTATTTTAACTTCTATACATTTTTCTCTGAGCTTGTAAAACATAAAAACTATTCTAGGTCCTATTCCTAAAGTTCCTCTTATTCTTAATTCTTCTATGGCTATTTTTGCTGGTAAACGCGCATAATAAACTGACCATTTATTTTCTATCTCTCTTCTTAGTTCTCCTGGTAATTTTCTAAAATATTTATTTCCTATTTCTTCATCAAAACTTTTTCCAGTTCTTGCTGCTATGGCTAAGTACTCTTTACTAAAAGGTACAATATATTTCCAACTTCCTAATGTTATTTGGTCTAACTCAGTTAATGCTACGCTTTGAGCGGAATCATTTCCTCTAGAAGGATCATATCCTATAAGTATTTCTTTAATAAAATTGGTAAAATTTCACGGGTTATTTCTTAACTCTTTGAACTGTTTAATTGTTTCTTCATATTTTCCTTTGAAAGTTAAATAAATATTATAAGCTGAATCTCCTAGAAGTGTCTCCATATATTCTCACATATCCGTTGATTCATAGGGACTGGTCATCCATGCTTTTACTGCATCTTTTTCCCATCTTTCTATTACTTCCTGCCATATCTGAGGGTCGAATCTGGCTAAATCTAAAAGGGTTCCTTGATTATTAACTGGCTGTAATTGTATACTCATATCTAGTTGTCTACGCTTTCCATGAAACTTATAGCTTTTATTTGGATCTGCGTGACTACGTCCTGAACTGGCTAATGGTCTTCTTCCTCCTACTGCATAATGCATTGGTTCTACGGGATCTCCTAAGGTTGGTTGTGGGTTACTAGTGCTTGTGCTTTCTGTATTCATATAAAAAGTATCTTCTAGCCTAGATTGTTTTGGTATTTTAAATATTTTACTAGGATGTATATTATCTTCTATGATATCATCTACATATTCCGTATGAAATTCCTGATCCAAAAATGACACTGCTTCGTCATGGGTATCTCCTCTGGCTAAGTATTCATAATATCTAGCATCTAATATTTTATTCATGTCTTCT